GATGAGGATGGGGAGAAAAAGAAGGTATACTATGTGTAGGTACAAATTCCCCGTGATGAGTGTGATCATCATGTATATCTGAAATGCACCCATACACTTAATTAATAAAAAGATAAAATATTTTTCCTATGCTATTTATTTACCTTATCTCCCTGGACTCTCTTAATTTCTGAGTTTATAACTCCTGGTGTTATGGAAAGAAACCTGGGTTCAGTCCTGGTCCATGTTTTTGACAACCTACTCTGTGACCCAAGTATAGCTAACAGTTTCTTTGAATCTCAGAGTTAAGGACCAAATTAAATGTTCTATTAAGAACTTCTTAAAGGGCTCTGGATTTTGCAATAAGCCAGTAAGTACCCTGCCCCCCTCTTCCACCAGCCTGGGGCCTCAGCTTGGTGTATATATCAGAGAAAGAGGACACCGGAGTGAGTTAAGGTACCTATATTAATAATGTATAACTTGAGCCCATAGCCAGGGAGAGGAATGCACATTGTGTGTGTGTGTGTGTGTGTGTGTGTGTGTGTGTTTAGAAGTGGGCTCAAAGAAGCTGTACTTATATACACTGTGCTTATCTGTTATGTGTATACCACCTTCTGTATACCCGTCTCAGGTCTAGGTGTTAAGGATATAACAGTGAACAAGATAGGGGAAGTCTCTGTTATAAAGCTTATATTCAAGTGAAAGACATAGATGATATTCAAGTAAGTAAATGAGATAATTTCCAATAATGGATAGTTTCATGAAAAAGTAAAACAATGATTTGATAAAGAGTTTCTGAAAAGACAAGAAGTACACATAGGTAAATGTGGTACATAGACTTGCAGATGGGTTTAAATTATGGGTACATAGTTTTGTGCTTGTGTTCATGTGTGTAGGGGAGCAGGTTTGTGCCTACAATGGTTCTATGTTAGCATACATGATTTTATGCAAGGGAGTACACACAGGTGGGCTGGTATGTGGTACACATGTGGATGCTCATGCGTGGGGATATACCTCAGTATTTAGCTGTAACTGGAGATGTCTGAAGTTCCTGTAACATTCGTCAGTGGGCCCATTAAGGAAATGGCTTCTCTGCCTCTGGTATTCAGGGCCAGTTGCCAGCTTCCTCTTCCCTAGTTCCTTCCTACTTTAGTAAGCTTTCTGTGCTTGGCTCTTCTTAGCTCTAGGAGTGCTAAAGCCAAGGAGAGGATAGAAACTGACTCATTAAGCCAGAAGCTGGAATGAGGCTGATAATCTTCTGTGTAACTCTGTCAGTAAGAAAAGGCCTGGCTTCTCTGCCAGTCCCTGTCCTTCACTATGAGAGAAAGCATCCTGACTTGAAATCAGAAGACTTGAGGATCTATTCTTGGCTCTGCCACTTATTATTGTGTGACCTTGGCCGGATACTACATCTCTCTAGGTTTCAGTTTCCTCCTTCCTAAGCACGCTGGATAGTAAGGGAGGAGAAGGAACAAAATGGCCTCCAATACTGAGGAAGGCTATGTAGTGTTGTGTCTGAAAGGAGTATCATTCTGAGCTGAGTCAATGACATTATCAAAAGGGTGGGGGTGGGTTTGAGCTTTGTGTACAAGGGAAGCCAGGAAGAAACCATTTAAAATAAAATTAAAACTTCTTACCATTGCCTGCTAGGTCCTGCATGATTTGGCTGCTGTCTTTCATTCTGACCCAGCTTCTTGCTCATTGTACTCTACCCATATTGGATTCCTTTTTTGTTATTTCCATTTGATGCTCTTTTTGCCAGAATATTCTTCCCCAAAATTAACATGGTTGCCTACAGCTTATTATACAAGTGTTAGCTGAAATATCACCATCCCAAGGAGAGACCTTTACAGACTCTCTTACCTGAAGTAGTTGATTCCTAGTATTTATTAGTATTTAAGATGGACATATCTTTTGACCCAATAATTCATCCTACAAACACACTTGAAAGTAATATTCTTTTCTTCAATCAAATTTTACTGGTACATTTTAGATATACATAATAAGGTATCATGATAATGATAAGGTTCAACATAGAGAATTTGTACCTGTACATTTATAATTTGATTCTTTTTTCCCCCATCCTCCTCTCCACTTACCAAAAAAAAAATTGTTCCCATTTTTACTTATTTTTTCTGCTTTTTAAAAAATTTTCCCTTTTTTCCTTGTCCTCTACCCCTCTCTTGTTCCTTCCTCATTTGAACATTTTCCTTATTTCACAATACCTAATATACATTTTGATTCTCATTTAACACTTTCAGTTTCTTACACTAGAGAAACAATGTAGTATTTACACATGTGTGTCCAACTTATTTAATTTAAGAAGATGGTCTCAAGGGGCATTCATTTACCTGAGAAGGTCTCAAGCTTATCCTTTATGGCAGAGTAGTACTCCAATATGTATAGATTTGGCTATTACAAACTGTGGCACTATAAACAAGTGCATATATAGCTGTGGAATCATGTTTTTAATTATTTCAGGAAGATATTCAGAAGGAGAATATCTGGGTCTATTGTACTCCTAGGTAGTCCTTTTTTTTTGAATCTCCACCACTAATTTCCATAATAGTGCACTAGTCTATATCCCCACCTACAGTGGAGAAGGGTTCCATTTTGCCCCTAGCCCCTCCAGCATTTGTTATTGATTGATTCCTTGATAACAGCCATTCCTTCTGGGGTGAGATGGAATCTTGTTTTAATGTGCATCTCTCAAATGACCAGTAATGCTGAATAGTTTTTCATATATATAGACAGAAATAGATATATATTTGCTAAGCTGGGCATGGTAGCACATACCTGTAATCCCAGAACACAGGGGCTGATGCAGGAGGATCATTGTGAGTTTGAAACCAACCTGGGCTACATAGTAAGCTCAGGGCCAGCCTGAACTGCAGAACAAGACCCTGTCTAAAATAATAATAATAATAATAATAATAATAATAATAATAATAATAATGTTTATACTTCTTTGATTTAATATGCTTGAAGCATTTATGGTTTAAGTTTATGATTTAAACAAATTAAATAACTACAAATAGAGGACAAAGAGATTGAGCTCTTGTAATTTTGACTGAGAATACCAAGGTATGTAGTTAAATTTTAAAAAGCAAATGGTAGAACTTTACACAAGATTTGTGCAGCTTATTGAATATAATAATTAAAACATGATAAAGAATAATATGTATAAAAACGAGAATATATAGACACAAATGCATATATACATGCTTGGATACTAGCTTGGTCCTTGAGTTGAGTAGTTTGAATCATTTTTACTACCCCTGGTTGATTGGAGACTGAGATATTTATCCCTTTTAAACTCTGATTTTTTAATTCAATTCAATTTTTTTTTGTTTTGTTTTGTATTTTGTGCAGGGTCTCACTACGCAGCTTGGACTCGTAGTGATCCTCTTGTTTTCAGCCTCCCCAGTGCTGGGATTACAGGTGTGTGCCACCACACTCGGGCTCAGTCACTGGCTCAGCATGCCCTGGGGTGGGGCCAGCGCGGCATGTGGTGCCAAGGATTGAACCCTGGCCCCTGCCTTGCCTAAGCAGGCACTTAGTCTGCTGAGCTATCTCACAGCCCTGAATTCAGTTTTTAAATATCTGTCTTTAGTAACATTTTATGCAAGATGCTAATGGTGTAGGTTCTTTTAAAGTGATTACTTTGGTCACTATCCACTAGCTGAGTTACTATTGGGCCTGCATTCTACTAGGAGTGGCTTTGTTTGTAAATTGATTGTCTCTTTAAAGTTACAAAAAATATAAGTAACAATGGTTGCTACTAGTCAGGGTGATTGGGAGATAGGAAAGGGAGGGACATTTAAAATTATGTATCCTGGGCTGGGGAGATGGCTCAGTAGAATAAGCGCTTCCCTGGCAAGCGCAAGGGCCTGAGTTAAAAAAAAAAAATCTATTTATCTATCTATCTATCTATCTATCTATCTATCTATCTATCTATGTATCTTTGGCAGCCTTGTGGATCAGCTCAGTTGTTTAAAGTGCCTGTTTGGGAAAACTTAGGCGCAGGGGACTTCAGTTCGATCCCTACCTCTACAAGTCGCACCAGACCCGTACTTAAGGCACCATGAGCTAGCCAAAAAAATAAAATAAAATTATGCATCTTCTTATACAGTGTCCTTTGTGTGTGTGCAGCAGCATGCCTAGCTTAAGCATATGTACTTTTAGAAAATATTTCTCCTCAGTCACTCATTATTATATCATTTTGCTTATTTGGGTCAAAGCCAGAGAGGAAGGAGAAAAACAAAAATCACCTGATAGAATATGGAAGTTTTTATGACTTTTTTTCCTCCTTTTTGGTGGGGCTGAGATTGAACCTTTTATGTGTTAGAGAGGTGTCTTATCTGAGCTTATCCCCAGCCAAAAGGTGGTGACTTTCAAACTTTAAATGTACATTTGAATTACCTATTCATCTTTGTTCCAACTTGTGATATAAAAGCAGACCTTTTGGTTTTGATTCTCAAAGTCCAAGTTGAGGTGTAGACATTTTAACAAATTTCCTAGGAGATTTGGGTACACTGGAGACTCTACTGTCTGTTGGAGTCCCTAGTCTGAATAACACCAATGTCATTTTGATACAGCATCAAAAAGACAGGGCCAGGGAGATAGCTCAGTGGCATAAGTGCCTTCCTTGCAAGTGCAATGTCCTGAGTTCGATCCCTGGTACCACAAAAAAAAAAAAAAAATCAGAAAGACACATCTGTGATATTAATTTTTCTTGACATATGCAAGAGAAGGGAAAATTATATTTTATCAACATAAAAATATGAGGCTCAGAAATGGATAGACAGTACACTTTGCAATGACACACACCAAATGTACAAAGTATCTTGAAAAGCCGAAGTACAGTATCTATCTGGTCAGCTCACAGTGTGGTGGGAGACGGCTTACCCTCACAGGCCCAGGCAACGGCCTTGCTAGACAGATTTTATAACTGCTCCGCTCTCTTGTTTGACATCATAGCTTGAAACCCTTAATCACTTGTTCTTCCCCATATATCTCAGGGAGGGTAATGAGCCAGGAGAGACCAACCAGATCACATACCGAGAACTTCTGGCCCAAGTGTGTCAGTTCAGCAATGTTCTCCGTAAACAGGGTGAGTGTGAGGGTGTGGGAAAGGGCTGGAGGACTTGGCATTGGGATCTGAGGATTTGTGGGGAGAGAAAAATAAAGGAATTTGGTAACAGGGGAACAGAACAGTAAATGTTAACTGAGAGAATCGCCAGCTGGATGGATGGGAGCAGGAAGTCTCAGCAGGAAGGCTTATGGGCAATGTACTGTGTCTTTTTACCTGCAGGCATTCAGAAGGGTGACCGGGTGGCCATCTACATGCCCATGATTTTGGAGCTCGTGGTAGCCATGCTGGCCTGTGCCCGCCTTGGGGCTTTGCATTCCATTGTGGTAGGAGTTTGGGCTGGTGAAAAGGGGCAGGGGTTGAGGGCATGGATCTGGAGAAACAGGTGGGCCTGGATGATGGAGGAACTTAAATAGCAAAGGGGTTTAGTGTGCTTATGCCACAGGTCTATATCAGTTATTCAGTTTCTTCTAGGACTCTGGCTTAGAAATTCTAAATTTCATGAACAACTCCTTTCCTTGTTCACTCAATGCCTGGGATCTCCCTCTCTCCCTCAGTTTTTCTTTCCTTCCCTAGTTTGCAGGCTTCTCTGCTGAGTCCCTGTGTGAACGGATCCTGGATTCCAGTTGCAGCCTTCTCATCACTGCAGGTGATTGATTCTCTCACTTTTTCTCTAGACACCACCTTGAGTCTTAGTCTTGAGTCAGCTCTTTGGATTGGGGCCACTTAGGATAGAGGGTAGGACTGCCTGCCCTTCCTCTCCATGTCCCGTCTCAGCTAATCCTCTGTCAGCCCAAATCAGCTACAAGTGCCAGAATCAAGAGGCCCACTGAGGAAGGGCATTGTGCCTACTGGGGAGGATGGTTCCTACTAAGCCCTGGAATGTCTGTTGCTCCCCAAAGATGCCTTCTACAGGGGGGAAAAACTTGTAAACCTGAAGGAGCTGGCTGACGAGTCCCTGGAGAAGTGTCGGGAGAAGTAAGTGTGCTAGCCTATTGGCTACTGCCCTGGGTTAGCTGGGCCTTTCCCCAGTGCCAGTTTCCCTTTGTCCATTCCTGCCAGATGGACAGGGGTGAGTCTTGCTAACTTCTCTTTGGAGCCAATCAGGCTACCACTTTAGCCCTTTCTTTTCTCCAGGGGTTTCCCAGTGAGATGCTGCATTGTGGTCAAGCACTTGGGCAGAGCGGAGCTTGGCATGAGTGACTCCCCCAGCCAGTCTCCCCCAGTTAAGAGGCCATGCCCAGATATCCAGGTGAGTATGGTGCTGATATACTTCCCCCGTAGTCAAATTTCCTCTCACTTCCTGTCCAAGAAGTTCCTAAAATCTTCTTTTGCTTATGTATCATAATGCTGAGGCTCTGGAAGCAGTCCTAAGAATGCTTTCTCTGGCCAGGCTGGTGGAACAAGGGATTTTGACCTTGAATATGAGGGAAAGGTCTTTGGACCTCAAGAACTTAGCATATCAGGTTGCAAAGGAGATTCTTGTGCTAGTTAGGGTGTCTTGGCAGGCACAGGGGACCTTAGGGTTTGAGCTTAGATTAGAAATGTGCTAACTGAGGTGATTAGAATATGACTTGAGATGAGCTACCTCTCATGGCCTAAGAGATGTCTCTCATAAATAAACTAGAATTCCTCACTATGGCTCTTGATAGCTTTGGATCCAGCATTTCTATTGGGAGTGGTAGAAAAGCTTAGTGTGGCCTTCAGGTCTGAGGGGCATAAAGTATGAAAGTTCTAAGGTCCAAAGGATAGAAGACCACTTAGGTTCTGTGAAATGAAAGAACCTGAGTGATACTGGGATAGAGATGTCGTGGTTTAGTTTAACAGTAAATCTTAGGGATATGTGCATATAAGAGTAGGAGCCAGATTTAGGAAAATGAGGTGGGGGATCCAGAGAAAGGGAGGCCAGAGGAACAGAAAACATCCAGGGATTTAGAATATACTCACCCTTCCTTCCCACTCCTCTATCCTTGGATCCTGCTCATCAGCTTTTCCATTCCATGGGCTCTTAACAGGGTAAGCTGAAAGAGAAATCCAAGCGCATCCAGCCCCAGGTATCCACTTCGCTGCCTTGGGCATAGTTTTGCCGCATGCTTATCTGTGTGTCCGTCTGCTCTTTGCCTGTTCGCTCCATTAAAGTGGCTACCAGACTCTCCCCCTTTCCCTTGCTCCTAGGCACCTAGTAACACCCATGCCAATCTAAAGCTTTGTGAAATCAAATATCTTTGCTGCCTCTATCAGCTAGCATGGAGCAAGGATCCCAGAGATGGTGACAGACATCCCATTTTTCTCCTGCTGCTTAGAACCTTTGTGGGGGAGGGGACCAGATAACCAACCAGAAAGTATTTACTGTGCACTTAGCTGGATGGGGTCAGAAGAGACAGGAGGAGCAGATGGAGGATGTACAGACCTTCACCTTGGAATTCACCATCAAGTTGGGGAGTTAGACATGTATTACAAAAGAATGAGTTTATACAGGACAGCAAAGAAAAAGATTCTAAAATACATTTATATACTTTTTTGGGATTTACAAATTGCACATAACTCTCTGATGTGATTAAATGTTAAAATTGAATGAAGGCTATATTATAGGTGGTTCTAGGAAGAGTGATCCATAGGTAAATGCCCAAAACAGCTTAGTGCAGAAGAGAGAGTGGGCCTGGGTTCCAGAGGCCAATTGTTAGCTGCATGACCTTGCATACAGCTCACTTTCCTTCTCACTAATAGAGAGATGATAATACATACTTGAAAGAAAGCAGAACATAAAGCTCATTGCTCCTATGAGTTTTACCATCTTCACAGGCTACCTTGCCCTAGTGGTACCTTTTATGCTAATCTACGCCTTTCTCTATTCTTATTAGCATGATGAAGACAGACCTGAATCCTAGGGAACTTTCCTTTCACAACTCAGGCAAGGACCTAATCCCTTCTTTTCAAAGAACTAACAAACCTGATGATTTAGGGTCCAGGCTCTGGAGCCAGACTACGTAGGTTCAAATCTTGGCTCTGCCATCTGCTACTATGTAAAGTTGGGCAAGTTACTTAAGCTCTCTTGATCCAGTTTCACCATTTTATAGTTTTGTCAATATATATAAGGTTCTTGGCACATACTAACTACTAAATAAATGTTAGTTGTTATTACTTCCCTTGACAAAGTAAACTCATAATTCTGCCTCAGGCTTCCAGCACTTGGATTTTTGTTTCTTGGATGTAAAAACAGTTACCAATAAACGCCAACAGGCCCTCTGTAGGCAAGCTTCTTCCTTTCTATATATCAAGAGGGAAGCTGGCAAGACAGCAGCAGTGACCATGAGGAAGCCATCAACACACCCAGCTTCAAGCCAGCCTTCCTTCTGTGAGAAAACTCAACAGAAGCATGATAGCCCCAAATTTACAGAGGAAACCATGTCTGGGCCCCCAAGTGCAGAGCAGCTGCGGGCTCAGGCCTCCTCGTGTGACTGACCAGCTGCATCTTCCCGAAGGTGGCAGTTCTTATCATTGCCCACTCTGGCAGTGAGGTCAGCCATGGTCCACACAAGGAGAAGCTGGAGAGGCCCCAGCAGCTCTGTACAAGCTGGAGGCTACAGTTACTTAAGTGCCAAGGCACCAAAAAAGAACTTCTAAGCCAATTGGATTTATAAGCACCTTTAAAGTAATGACTTCAGGAAGTCAAGGCCAGTCCCTGGGCCAGTTTGCTATGGAGAGTTTGCAGCCTACCAACCCCCAGCCTGTCTCCATTTTGGAAAGAGAGAATCCTGGAAGCTTTTACCTCCCTCATCTTTTACTGCCCTCTTCCAGCCAGACATCCAGAGACACACTCAAAAAGTGAAGGACTCCAGGGAGAGACTGGCTGAGGCTTTGAGGGTAGACAGCCTGGCCAGGGAGACAGAGGATGAGTAACTAGGAGGAGAGGCCTGAAAACTGGATAGAAACAGAATCAAAAAACTGCTGGAGAACCCCAGATGTGAGGCCTCTGGAGAGAGGGTTTCACCATGAGAGACATATCTGATTTCCCTATGAGTCTTCAAATGCCAGTCCAGCCCTGACCAGTGATCTTGAAGTCACAGCCAAACTGCTCTTTATTACACTTTTTGTGAGGGGGAAGAAGAACAGCATGAAAATAGGCTTACAAAATCCAGTGTTTTATTTTTGTTTTCTTGAAACAGGGTCTTGCTGCATAGTGCAGGCTGGCCTTGAACTCACTATGTAACATATGCTGGCCTCAAACTTGTTGTAATCCTCCTGCTTCAGCCTCCTGCGTGCTGGAATTACAAGCATGTACCACCACACCTGGCCAAAATCCAGGGGTCAGGGGTTAGTCTGAAAATTGCAGTGAAAGCTATAAAAATTCTGATAGAATTTCAAACCCATTCAGCTTTAGGAAGTCTTCAAGGCAGGACCTGATGGGTGCCCTCCTCAACCATGTCACCCAGGAGCTCCTTCATATTCTTTTTCCATACCTGACAGCTGCCCTCTCAAGGCCACCCTGATACAAGGACAGCAGCCCACTCTTCCATTTTTATTGAGAAAATTCAAACCTTTTCCTGGTTCCAACCCATGGGTCTTATAGGTACACACCTAACCCACACCCAATGTTTGCTTCACAAATTGAGGTCATCCTGCTTCCTGGTGCTTGTTATTGGCTCCACACCTGGAATACCCAACCTCTTCCTCTCCTCCCTACTCACACATACACACCCACAAAAAAAATACTTTTATAAGATTATAAGAATTCCCTCAGTGCAGAGCCACAGTGTAACTATGCTTTATCCTTTGACAATTCACAGTACTACAGACCAGCACCGTTTATCCAAAGCAATATTGACATAGTTCTGCTTAGATACATTAATGCCCTCAGCTCAAGGTTATTTGGCAAGAAAAAAGTATTCGTATGACGGTGTACATGTAAACTCATCTAGATTTTCCACTAAAAAATAGGGTGTGCTTGTGTATATTCTAGCTGGCGTCCTCTTTTTCTTTTTAATGGCATCTTCACTTGGATGGGATTGTCATTCTCGTGATACTCATATGGTAGAAACTTAAAATTCTATAGAGTAAGGAGCATGTAGTACAGAGACGTGTGAGTAGAGAGTCATATTCTAATTTACCAAGGTACACAGCTAACACTTTAGGATTTTTTGGTACCGGTAATCAAACTTAGGACCTTGTGCTTGCCAGGCAGGCACTGTGTCACTGAGTTTATATCCCTGGCCACTTTGGGATTTTTAAACCAAATATGCAGACGATAAATTATCATATATCTGTGTACTGAGGGGAAGGCCTTTCTCTAGCATTGTCATTTCTACCTGTCAGCCAAGGCCACTAAACATTTAAGAATATAACAAATATGAAAAGGCTCTGAAGACAGCTAAAGCAATCCCCAAACAGTTCTCATTATCACACCCTTAATTTCATTTCCTAACTGTTATGAAACCTCTGTCCCTTCTAACATTCAACAAGCTTCTCTACCTTACCCCCTGTGGCAGTCCAAGGCTTGATGTTTATCAGATATCTTTTCCTTTTGATATTCCTAAAATTCTGTAAGATCATCAGGACAAAAATGATAATGCTTATTTTTTTAAAAAGATTTATTTATTTATTTATTTGGTGCAGGGTCTCACTATGCAACTCAGACTCATAATTATCCTTCTCTCACAGCCTCCCCATTTCTGGGATTACAGGTGTGTACCACTACGCCTGGTTTTGGTGCTGCCTCAGAGAGGGGCATGGCATGCAGCACCCGGGATCAAACCCAGGTCCTTGAGCTTGCCAGGCAGGTGCTTGAACCACTGAGCTATCTCCGTGGCCTATGCTTATTTTTTAAAAGAGTGATTTGAGGTAGAGTGACTTATTCAAGGTCATATAGCTAGAAAGTGGTAGAACTGGGGTTGAAACCCAGTACAATTTTTGACAAATTCAGCAACTCCCACTTCACACAGTAGAAACTATAAGACTATAACAATTAGATAAAAGCTGGTATTTGAAGAGGTGATATTCTGTTGTCAAACTGCGCCCACTCCACTAGTGGTATAACATATATTCATACATAGAATGTTAAAATGAGTACATCCTTGTATTTGTATGTTTTTAACAGTGCAAAGGTATAATGGGAAATTAACAAAGTTAGGAAAAAATTAAATTATTAAGAAGAAAATAAAAGAGGTGATTATAACCAAGAAAGGAAAATACTTCAAAAGAGAGTTGAGGGGCTGGGGAAATAGCTCAGTGGAATAAGTGCTTGCCTGACAAGTGCAAGGGCCTGAGTTCAATCCTGATTCAAAAAAAAAAGAGAGTTGAGAAAAAATTCAGGATGACAGATTCAGACGTCATTACCAAAGGCAATTAGACATAGAGGGGCATCCCTTTTCTGGATGAACTTCATTGTGGTCCATTTCCACCAATGTGAAGCAAGGCTTGCTGCTGAATGGAACCTGTCTCCTCAAACAAAAAGTGCTATGGGAAACCCCCTTGGCATCAGTGTTACCAGGGCAAAAAGCCCTCTAGATGTCAGTGGGGTCTGGACATGTAGAAAAAAGTGCTTGGACCAAGGTCTGCTGATTTCCTTCACTACTAACAGGATCAAGTGCCCACCTCACCTGCAGGCTCTGACTAATTTAGCATTTCTGAATTGTGTTAGTATCTGCATCCCTGCTGATAAGCCACTAGTTTCCTGTAGTGCATATGTGTGTATGCAGGCTGTGTGTGCAAAGGCATTCATTCAACAGAAATTTCCTGAATGTTTTCTTGAGAATGTTGATCACTTTACAGATGTTGGAAATACAGGGGAAAAGAAAAGACATACTACTGCCCGCCTAGAGGTCACCATCTAGTTGGGGGAAGCAATAACTAAGTAAACAAACAAAAGAAATGGAAATATGTGCTGTCTGGTATTGTGGTTAGTAATAATTGGAGGGGTGGGAGATAATTTATCATATACCACTCAGAAGTTCCCAAAAAGGTGACATTTCACCTGAGAATTGAAGGGTGGGAATTGAACTAACCAAGGGGCCCTCCTCAGCCTGAGGTAAGTTGAGGGGAATTCTGTGGTAAAGATAAGGAAGGGATGGTAGAGTACCCAGGAAGCCTGCCATTATGCTCCTGTTCTCCACCTGTTCTATCCTTGCAGGACCCTCTTTCCCTTCCTGCATCTCCACCTACCAGCTCCATGCAGTCCTTCCAGGTGCCAGGTAGAGGGGTCTCCCACCCTATTTTAAGCTGTTCACAGTTCTTTCCTCCTTATTTCTCTCTTCCTCTTCTTGCAGATCTCCTGGAACCAAGGGGTTGACTTGTGGTGGCATGAACTCATGCAAGAAGCAGGAGATGAGTTTGAGCCTGAGTGGTGTGATGCTGAGGACCCACTCTTCATCCTGTACACCAGTGGCTCCACAGGCAAACCCAAGGCAAGTATGTGTCTGTGTGTCTGTCAGGTAACAGCTAGAAGTGAGTTTTTAAGGATGCATGTGATGATGGTAACATTTTCCTATACCCATAAGTTCCAGATATGTCACATTATCTCCTTTATCAAATCAAGATACACATTCTCAATTACTAGATGGTGAGATCCAGGATAAGACAAGTCAGGTGGGAGCTTTCCTGGTACCCAGAAAGGAAGGAAAGGATCATCTGTGAGGCTGACATTGATACTTCTTGCCCATTCCCATACGATTTGGTTGAAGGAGAGCTATTCTGTCAACTCAGGCCCAAGAGCAGGTATAGGATCCCTCTTGTGCTTCTAAAACCATAATTCAAAATCGCATTTTTCTTTTCTTCCTGGAACATTGTTCCGTTAGTCCCCTGCCAGGGCACATCATGAGGGCTGGAAGTATTTTGAAAAACTAAATCCTTCATTGACTTGAAAGATTTGAAAACTATATCACTGTGTCTTCTACCCACCCCAATCCTTCACTTCTCTAAAGTATCCTTAAGGTGCTTTAGAGTATCTTTCAGTGGGCTGTCAGAAATACATTTTGTTCACAGGAATAGAGTAAGCCAAGTGGCTTGTTTTTTTAGTCATCCTAATGATGTATCATTGAGTGTGAGTGCACAAATACACAGCAAAAACTATATGAGTGTGCTAGGAGTGCTCATGTGTAAGTGACTGATGGCTCAGAAATAAAATTTTAATATGTAGGTGGGAACAATGAGCTGATATATATTTATGGTATAATGGGTACGATGAAGAAGATGAGATAGGAGCATAGAGCAAACAGATAAAAGAGAAACAGATACTGTGGAAAGGGTGATGGCAGGCCAGAATCCTCAAGAAGGGTCTTTCTTCAGCCCTGCCAAACCCCTATTTGTTGGTAAGTGAGGTGGGCTGAAGGCCCCAACTGAGGCCCCATTCCTCCCACAGGGTGTGGTACACACAGTTGGGGGCTATATGCTCTACGTGGCTACAACTTTCAAGTATGTGTTTGACTTCCACCCAGAGGATGTGTTTTGGTGCACAGCAGACATTGGTTGGATCACTGGCCATTCCTACATCACCTATGGGCCACTGGCAAATGGTGCCACCAGTGTTTTGGTGAGAAGGGAGCTGAGACTTATGGCTACCTAGCCTACATGGGAGGGGGGTGGATAAGATTATTCTGGGTGAAAAGAGTTAAAGACATCATGCCACAGTGATATATATAGAACCATGTTTATAGTAGCACAACACATAATTCTTATTCATGATGGAGTTCTACTATGTCATAAAGAAAGATATACTTGAGTCATTTATAGGAAAAAGGATGCACCTTGAAACCACAGTGTTAAGTAAAATAAATCAGACACACAAACTTCAATATCATATAACTTTTCTTATATGAGAAACCCAGAGTATAAATAAATTTAAAAACAAAATAAAAGATAAAAAATAGGTAACAGGGAGATGGATCTTTTACAAATGAGAAGAGGATCTAAAGACAGAGAGGGGAGCAGGGGGTGGGAGAGGGGAATAAAAAAATTCAAGAGATGCTAAGAACATCCTTAAGATGTGCCCCTTAAGATGAATGTAAATGTTATGTACTACAAACATGTACTGTAAAAAAATTCAATCCTGAGTCACATTACAGGAAAAAAAGATTTCCTGTGTGACTACCTGTCAAGGTTGCTTAGTCTGCTTATGTTCTGTTCCCTGGAGGAAGAAGAGTTTTAAGGAGATTATGCATCCTGACCAGGAAAATCTCTTGGCTTGTCTGGTCAGGGAATTAAAACATGGTTAGAAAGGGCCAAATACACAAACTGAGGTAATGGTAAGGGAATGGAAGTACTATTGAGAAGGACCAGAAATGACCAGCTTTCATGGGGGGTCAGTTTGAGGGGATCCCCACATACCCAGATGTGAGCCGCCTGTGGAGCGTCGTGGACAAATACAAGGTGACCAAGTTCTACACAGCACCCACGGCCATCCGTCTGCTCATGAAGTTTGGAGATGAGCCTGTCACCAAGTGAGACCCTCCCCAAGTTGCTTCCCCCTTGGGTATCCTTTGAGGCTTGGTGGCTTCCCTTTGTATAGGTTCTTTCCCCTGTCCCAACTCTCTGACCTGGAACAGGGAGAGGGCATGAAAAGAGGTGTGTGTATCCTGGCTCTTGGGGACACTCAGAACTTTCCTCTCCCCTACTTCTCTGCCCAAGGCATAGCCGGGCATCATTGCAGATTCTAGGTACAGTGGGTGAACCAATCAACCCTGAGGCCTGGCTATGGTACCACCGGGTGGTAGGCGCCCAGCGCTGCCCGATTGTGGACACCTTCTGGCAAACAGAGACAGTGAGTGAGGGGTTCAGGAGACTGGGACTCAGAGACAGTGTGGAAAGAATGACTCAAAACCCTATCTCTGCTTTCCACAGGGTGGCCACATGCTGACTCCACTTCCCGGAGCCACACCCATGAAGCCTGGTTCTGCTGTGAGTGCCCTGTTGTGTCTGAGAGTGCTGCTGGTATTGGGCTTGGCAGGGGAAGGCTCTTGTGTCTTTGGGCCTATTGGAGAGTTGGGAACTAGACTAATATGTATGTATGTATAAGGAATTTGGAGCACTGGGATGCCTTGGAAGTTGAATCAGAATTGCCTCATTCCATTTTTTGGGTTCTATCTCCCTTTTGCTTTTAGTCCTTTCCATTCTTTGGTGTAGCTCCTGCAATCCTGAATGAATCTGGGGAAGAGTTGGAAGGTGAAGCTGAAGGTTATCTGGTGAGGCCCTCCCTTGGGGATTTTCAAGTAGAGGGGATAGGATCCTCATGGGAACTTTGCCCCAGAGTTTAAAACTGCTAGTTGCTTAGGATGGAAACTCTACAGTTGAGGGATTGTCCTCTGCTGAAAGAGTACAGGGGAAACCCTTGCCTGTATCTCTGCCTTTTGGTGCATAAGGGACCAGAAGGCCTTTTAAGAATCTGTTCAAAGGGCTGAAGGAAGGAGAGGAGAATGGGGGGGAGGGAAGAAAAGAAATAAATTATATCATGTAGAGGTAGAAATTCTCTATGATGAATGTGATCACTATATGTACCTAAAATGTACAATAAAATCTGATAGGAAGAAAAAGAAAAGAGTATGTTCAGATTCATGATGTTAGTTTTTTAGGTTTGAAAAACTTAGCCCAAATCCTTCCATGGATGAACATTCTTAATAAAGGAAGCATCATAACATAGAGGATGGTCACACAGGCTCTGGGTTTCTATAGAACCTAGAATTTATCATTCAGTTAATGTAAGCTCTTCTAATTATTGTTATATTTGTAAGGATATTACCAGCCCAGCCCTCTAGACCCCAACACATTTCACTCTTCTAAGAGCAAGTTAGGAATGGCTAAGACATGAAGCCATAACTTTCATAACTGTGTTATGAAAGATAGACTTCAGATGAGTAGATTTTACTGACATACAAGTAAGTCTTTTGATTCTTAACTATCATGAAGTTAAGAAGATTCCATCCATTCCATCTATCTCTGCACAGAACAGTCCCTCCACCTTTCTTTTCTTTTCTTTTCTTTTCTTTTTTTTGGTAATGCTGAAAAGCAAAACACTCAGAGCACTCTGCTACTGAGCTCTTTCCCCTAAGTCAGCCCTGATTTTTTTTTTTAAAGCAAATAGGCTAACCTTGAACTTACTGTATAGCCCAAGCTGCCCTCAAATTTATAGCAATCCACTTGCCTCAGCCTCCCAAGTTCTGGGATTACAGGTGTGCATCACACCTGGCTCAGTTTCACTTTTTTTATATGGCTTTTCATATGCTCATATGCATAAAATTTGAACTGCTTTTCTGAGGGAGGACCCAAAAGAAGACTCATATGTATTAAATGTTTACCACTAACATAAAACTGTGTTAGGCAATTTCCACATAATATTAATTATCCTCACAATAACTTTAGGAAATAGAAATTGTTTGCTCTGATTTACAGGTGAGGACCCTAAAGCTCAGAGAAGTAAAGTTATTTACATGAAGTCTCCTAGGTAGTATGTGGCAGAGTTGGGGTTCCAAACCTGAATTGCCCCTCAACAAAGCCTGTATTTATTTGTCTTCTCTCTCTGGAATGGCATGTAGGGTATTTTCCCAGGTTTAGTAGAGCTATGACAGGCTTCCCGTGAGAGAGCCTAGCAGGCGTGATCACTGTACCTTCCTCACTCCCCAGGTGTTCAAGCAGCCCTGGCCAGGGATCATGCGCACAGTTTATGGAAACCACCCACGCTTTGAGACTACCTACTTTAAGAAATTTCCTGGTTACTATGTGACAGGAGATGGTGAGCCTTCGCTGTCCCCTCCCTCTGCCTCCCTCTGAGATATGTACCTTTAACATCTATTTTTAGAAGAGTTGGTTGAGAATAAAGAAGCACAGAAAAAATATGTTTTATGTATCTGGTATCCAGGCAGAGCTACAGAGAAGACAGTAAGAGAAGGAATGAGTGTTGCAGGAAAAGCCTCAGGATGATGCCATCTGAAATTAGTTAATGAGAAAATAAGTTTTTGTTTCTTACACACATTTTTAGAGATGGAGCATGTAACAGTATCACTGTATCATGTGTGTCTTCATGTTCAGAGGCTGTTTGTTGTCTGTCTGTCCACCAGTCCAGTCACCCATCAATATTATTGAGCACATATATGCCCAGATACCAGTCTAATAAGCATGTGGGATATTATGGGTAACAGTTAAATTTTCTGTTCTTTGGGGGTTTATATTCTAGCAAGAAGGGGACAGACAATAAACCCAGAAAAAATAAATAAACTTATGTTAGGTAGAGATAAGTGCATAAAGAAACAATATGATAAACAATCTAGGTGTGGTGGTGTATGTCTGAAACGCAGCACTCAGGAAGATGAGGCAGGAGGACAAGAAGTTCCAGCACAGCATAGGCAACTTAATGACTTAGCAAGACTACGTCTCAAAACAAAGAGTAAAAAGGTCTGGGTAGTGCAATTCAAAGGCCCTAGGTTCAATCTCTAGTACTAAAATGGGATAATATCTGCAGAGATAGCTACTTTACACAGGACGATCAGCAAAGTCTTCTGTTCAGTGACATTGGAGCAGAGACCTGAGGGACAAGAAGAAACCAGACATGGGAGATCTAGAGTAATGTGCAGCAGGACGTGAGCTTGAAATGTGTGAAGAATGGAAAGAAGCCTATGTGGCTGGAGTGTGGTGTATACAAGGAAGAACAATACATGAAGCCGGAAAGGCAGCTAATACAGGGTTTTCTGGGCCAATGTGAGCAGCTAGATTTTATTCAAAGTATAGTGGAAAACCTTTATGGGTTTTAAGCAAGGGAGTGATTAACAATTAATTTACTATTTAGAAAATAACTGAGTTATGAAAGGTAGACCTATGATGAGTAGATTTGACTGACAGAATAAGGTATCACTGAAACTGGCAGCAAATATATTATCTTACAGTTTCTGAGGGCCAGGGTCTGCAAGCAGCTTAGCTGCATGTCCTGGATTGCAGTCAAGCTGTGGCCAGAGCTACAGTCATCCAAAGGCTTGATGGAACCCAGAGGACCCACTTCCACACTCACTCACATGGCCATTAGCAGGATCTCTCAGTTCCTCATTACCTGTGCTTCTACATAGGGCTGCTCCCAATATGGGAGCCAAAGTGTCTTTTCTAACCTAATCTGAGAAGTGACATCTCATAATTTCTCCTGAATTCTATTGATCACACAGACTAGCCCTGCACAGCATAGTGAGAAAGAGGAGTATATAGGCCTACACATGCCAAGAGGTGGAGATCAGAAGAGCTGTCTTAGAGACTGGCTGCCACAGTTGGCAAGAACTGTAGCAGAAAGGCTATTATATCCTACTTTGAGCTATTTGTTGTACATTTCTTTCCAGGATGCCGGCGGGACCAGGATGGCTATTACTGGATCACTGGCAGGATCGATGACATGCTCAATGTGTCTGGTAAGGGCCCAGGACCCTTTCCTATCTCATTTACTTTGTTCCCCTGGCAACTCTCAGCCAAAGCCTTCTGAGAGTCACGACTGTCCTTTGTTTAGACCACGTGTGGAATGTGGAATTCTGGACCTGGGTCTTGGAAGAAGAGTGATAAGCACTGAAATGTGCCAGGAGGGGGGTCAGGGTGGTGAGGTGCCTGGAAGCAGGTGTGCGGGAAGTGAATGAAGGGCATTCCCCAGTTGAATCAGATAGGGGCTGCTTTGTGGGAACAGATGGAATAAAAGCTGTGGCAAAGGCTGGGCTGTTTTATGTCACTTCCTTTCTTTTGACAAGGACACCTCCTGAGTACGGCAGAGGTGGAGTCAGCACTTGTGGAACATGAAGCTGTTGCCGAGGCGGCCGTGGTGGGCCACCCTCATCCTGTGAAGGGCGAATGCCTCTACTGCTTTGTCACTCTGTGTGATGGCCACACTTTCAGTCCTACCCTCATTGAGGAGCTCAAGAAGCAAAGTGAGGAGCTTCCCTGAAAGGGGCTGCAGGATTTGCAAGTCTCTGGGAAGGGGCTGCAGTGAGCCATTCCCCAAACCACAAACAGATCCCAGGGGATCCCATGGGCTGGCTAATTTCTTCCCATTCAGTTTCCACTGCTACTAGTCTCTTCACTAGAATAATAGCCAGGGGGCTGGGGATAGAGCTCAGAGGTACAGCACTTGCCTACTATGTACAAGGGCTCAGTGCTTTGAATGTATTACCACATTTAATTCCCTTAATTCCACAAAGAGATCTTCTGGTTAATCTAGTTCCTAAAGAAGAAACTTCTTTCCCAGAGAAGTCAAACCACTTGCCCAATGCTAAACTCTAGCAGTCTTGTCTTAAGAGCCACAATTCATGAATTTGGGTTAAAATAAGAAAGGAAAGAGACAATGCGCTAAAAGAGAGGCAGTGAGGCTGAGAATGGCTGTGGGCAGGAGCTTGAAGAGGAAATGTGGGGAACAAACTATATCTACTTTGACTTTTGGGAGTCAGGCTAAAGGTGCTAAAGAAATGTTTGATGATTTGTTGGTTACAGTTAGAGAAAAGATTGGCCCCATTGCGACACCAGACTACATCCAGAACGCGCCTGGTTTGCCTAAAACACGGTCAGGTATGTTCAGAGGCCTCCAGGTGTTGGGGTGGGCTAACTGGTGGTGAGGAGTGTGGAATTTTTTTTTTTTTTTAATTTTTATTTTTGGCGGAACCGGGGATTGAACTCAGACCCTTGTGCTTGCCAAGGAAGAGCTTATTCCACTGAGCCATCTCCCCGGCCCCAAGGAGTGTGGAATTTTGAAAGGACTGGTGTGGGTCAGTGTTACCACCATGTAACCAGATGTCTGTGGTCTCCCAGGTAAAATTATGAGGCGAGTGCTTCGGAAGATTGCTCAGAACGACCATGACCTGGGGGACATATCTACAGTGGCTGACCCATCCGTTATCAGTCACCTCTTCAACCACCGCTGCTTGACTATTTAGTGGACAAGACTCTGTCCTTTACCTAGGGTTCCCCCACCTGGCTCTCCAGAGTCCTGCCTACCCCCCAGCTCCTATCCAGGAGCACCGAAGTCTAGTGCTGCTCTATACTTTGATTCTGAGTGGAGAGTTTCCTGTGACTTCCAGAAAGAAGGGACAAGGCCCAGGCCAGCCCAGACCAATACAGGCCCAGACTGCAAAGAGCTTTCCATGCACAGAACAGAAGCCTGAATGACACGTTCCCGAGCCAGCTTAGGTCAAGTGAGGGCCTTGACTGAAGCAGGGGACAGCTGTCTAGTCCTCAGTCAGTCCTCACAATACTTACTTTGGGTATATATTTGCCTTAGAAATGACTACTTTATGAGTCCAAGGATATTTTTTTTTAATGTTGCTACTTCTGTTCCAACTCTGAATTCCCTGACAGATAGCCATACTGGCTGCCCATGTGCTCTCAGGGCTATGCAGGTTGGTTTAGTCCTGAGTGTTTCCAGATCATTGGCTTCTTTGAAGGAGCACATATATATTGTTCCTAGGACCAGAGGAGCTTGTCTTGTCTTGCTTCCTCCCTCCGGTTCCCAGAGACAGAGCCCTGCCTATGAGGGACACTCTCACATGAACCTTTTTTTTTTCTTTCCCAAGTCATGCTTAAGCCTCATGGTTAGAGGAATAAAGTCTGTGACTTTGAGAAGATGACTGGTGTTCTTGTGTATCTTTTAAGCTATGCACCCATTAATGGCTCTGATGTGTACAGCACATCAGAGGGAAGCAGCATTCCCCAGGAGTACCCTAGTGCCTTTCAGAATTTTTGGTGTGGAGAGTGAGGCAGGGCTTTGTTAAGAGGATCTTTCTTAAGTCCCTAAACTGAGTAGGAGTGACTGAAGCTAGGTCATAATCAACCTGTAACCAACCTTTGGGAGCATAAGTAGGTGACAAGAATTGAAGCTTCAGGTTCCCATCCACAGGATCAAGATCCAAGGAGACCTTGAGAATAGCCCAGTCACCTTTTCTGCTCCAATCTATCTTATGTGTGCTGACCTAGGCTATAGCACCCCCAACTTCAGTACAGAAAGCAATAAATCACTGAATCAGCAATGTAGTTTTATTAAGGCAGAGCTGGGAAAAGGCTATGCCTCTCCACTCTCCTTCTCCTATTACTCAGTCCTGTCCCAAGTCAGGCACTGAAACTTGCTAGAAAGACTGATGAAAGGTCAATAAGAGGGCCACAGAGTTTATGGGCTTTACCTCAAAGGAGTGTCTCTTCCCACACCCTAAGGCTTAGAGGAAACACAGCTTTTTGGTCCTCATGTGGAGAGCTGAAAGAAGATACCCAGAATTTATCATTCCTTGAAGATCTTGGAGGTCTTGGAAGAGACCAGCTCTCCTAAGGTGGGAGGAGGACAACCCCTCAGGAGGGCCAGCAGAAGAATAACAAGCACAGGGGGTGGAAGATCTCTTGAGTGAAGTCCAGGCTAGTCAGGCTGTGTCCTCACACAGGGTACGGGTTGTCTAGGACTGCCACTCCTGCTGCCACACCACCGTCAGCATGCTCGATGGCTTTGGTTCGAAGTAGATGCCCCACATGTTTGTTCATCACAAGTGTCTTTCCCTGTCTACAGAGATGGGGTCGAGAGGCACACATCACCAAAGCCAGAATGAGACCTAACTGGCTACACCTAAGAAAAGTGCTAGGATTTTGGCTGTATTTGAGTTTGCTTCCTAGCTTGGAAACTACTCTATGGCTATTTGTTTTTGAGAAAGTTCTTTATTTCCTCAGTTTGAAATTAAAATAATATACTTACTTTTTAAAAAATTTATGTATTTGGTACAGGATCTCACTACACAGCTTGGACTCATAGTAAATCCTCTTGTTTCAGCCTCCCCAGCACTGGGGTTACAGGTCTACACCACTATGCCCAATTCCAGTGGCCTACTCAGCAGGCCTTAGGCACAGCCAGCACAGCATGTGGTACCAGGGATCGAACCTGGGTCCTTGCCCTTGCCAGGCAGGTGCTTAGACCACTGAGCTATCTCACCAGCCCTCCCTTACTTTTAAAGATGATCATAAGGAGTAAATAAAGCAAGAAAATCTGGGCATTGTGGCACATGCCTATAATCTCAACACTGGGGAAGCTGAGGCAGGAGGCTCTCCAAGAGTTCGAGGCCAGCCCAGGTTACATAATGAATTCAAGGCCAGTCTGAACTGGATATCAAGACCCTATCTCCAGAGGAAGGGAAGGGAAGGGCAGGGAGGGGAGGAGAGGAGAGGGGAGGAGAGGGAAGGGGAGGGAACAGGAGGCAGGCAGGCAGGCAGGCAGGCAGGCAGAAAAGCTTTTGGCATGATCTAGGTTTACATTTCCTGTCTTGAGCTATAAATTTCTGTCTTGACCTCACTCAAGATGACTGTGATGGTGCAGAAGTGAAGGGGGCGTGGCAAGCAGAGACACCGCAGATGGATCTGGGGGTAGACGACAGAGAAGGAAGACTCTGGAAGGGAGTGTGGCAGCATCTGATGTCCCAACTTGGTCCTGACTTTGATAAGTATTTTGCAGGAAATGGCATGAGTTCCTTACAAATTGCCAAGTCCTCTTTCTGATTCTTAGTGGTCAAATCTAAAGAGCTGCTTAGTTCTTTAAAACCACCAAACATCAGGGCTGCCGAGATAGCTCAATAGACTAAGTGCCTGCTTGAGCATGCGCAGGGACCAGGGTTCAGTCCCCACACTAAGCCACTGAGACTGGGCATGGTGACACACCTGTAATCCCAGTGCTGGGAAGGCTAAAAACAGTATCACTAGAGTCCAATCTGCATAGTAAGACCCTGTACCAAATATATTTAAAAAAACAAAACAGAACAAACTGCACCAAGTATCACCTAGCTGGCTCATCTCACTTTTTCCCAGAATCCCCAGTGCCCTTAAATCTGTGCCCAAACTGTCTTCTTTCCTGGAATCTTCTCATCCTGTCAGGCCATCTTGTTCCAATTCTTCTGATACTACCTGATTTCCTTTTTGGCTGCTAAGCCCTGCCTGACTGCCAGGGTATTACCTGATAGCCATGGAAAGTGAGCAGCTCTTGGGTCATTGGCCTTATTTACTAAACAAAGGCACAAATAAGAAAGCTAAGGATTGGCAGAGCTGGCTTGCTTGGCTGGGACTCTTGCAGGAAGGTAGTGGGAAGAGCTCCACCTGACTTACCTGACATAGACTCCGAAGATACCCAGCTCTGAGATGCACTGAACCACTCTGGCAGGGCTGCCAGGCCGTAGCAGGCAATTCCTGAAAGGCTCAGGTTCAATCTTCTCCATGAGGATGTAGGAGGCCCTCTCTTCAGTGTCCTTCAGCCGCACCAAGGCCTGTACCATTTCATCCCCATACAGGTTGTTACCTGCAATTAAACTGAGCAGTCTGTGGTCCATGCTGTCATAACCCTAGCCTTTGCCTCTATATAGCTCTTCTGAGCAACTGTACAGCCTCCTGTATGGTCTCTCTGCCACCACTATCTCCATCATTCCAGGAAATCTATTCTGATTGAAATACTAAGTCTTGCAAGACCTCATCACAAATCCTGGGTCATTAATGTGTCTCTTCCCTACTTAAAACTCCCTGAAGAGCTGGGGAGACAGCTCAACAATCTGAGTGCCTGCCTGGCAAGTGCAGGGACCCGGGTTCAATCCCCAGCACTGCATGCCATGCAGAGCCTGCCACTGAAACTGGGGGTGGTGGCACACGCCTATAATCCCAGCGCTGGGGTGGCTCAAACAGGAGGATCACTACAAGTCCAACCTATGCAGTAGACCCTGTACCAAATGCACAAAATTTAAACAACTCCATAGCCTTGAATATGTTTGAATCTATCTATCTATCTATCTATCTATCTATCTATCTATCTATCTATCTATCTATAAAATTTGGTACAAGGTCTCATAGTAATCCTCCTGTTTTCAGCCTCCATGGTGTTGCGATTACAGGCATGTGTTACCATGCCCAGTCTCCTTGGCAAGCTCAGCATGCCCAGGGGCCGGGCCAGCGTGGCATGTGGTGCTGGGATCAAACCCCAGTCTCTGTGCTTGCCAGGCAGGTTCTTAGTTTGCTGAGCTATCTCGCCAGCCTGCTAACATATATTTATTGCTTCCCCCTCAACACTGCTCCCCTGACAACAATTCCCTACCCATAGCACCAGGATTAAACCCAGAACCTTCACATAGCTACATCTTTTTTATTTATAATGAACCAGGGTTTGGATAAGTTGCTCAGCCTAGACTCAAGGCTGCTTCAACTTCCCAGAGTACTAAGATTATAGGCATGTACCAGGACATCTGGCTTTAATGTCCATTGTAATTAGGTTCCAGACGACCTCTCCCAGCCAGGAATGGTAGCACACATCTATAATCCCAGCACTCAGGAGACTGAAGAGGATGACTACAAGTTCGAAGTCACCCTAGGCCATGTAGTGAGTTTACTGGGGAACTCCTACCCATCCCTTTTTCTTTTCTTTCTGTATTTTAGGGAAGGGTCTACAGCATGTTTGGGGTCTCACTACTAGATTGGACTCACAGTGATTCTCCTGTTTACAGCCTCCCAAGTGCTGGGATTACAGGTGCATGCCACCATGCCCAGTCTCAATTACAGTCTCAGAGCACCCCCGGCCCCTGCGCCTGCTTGGAGGTGCTTTAATCCATTGAGCTATTTGGCTGGCCCTCTCCTACCCATCCCTTACGACCCAGATCAAAAGTCATCTCTGGATATATAAAGCAGACATGACCCGTCATCAGAAAGCTTAGAAGTAGGAAAATAGACGTGTGTTCCCTCAGATCTCCTAGTGTGCCTATACCCTGCTTCCCTATAGTCCACCCACCGGCACCCATTGTTCAAACCCTCCTGTACTAGTTAATCAGACTCCTTGTGTTCCACAGCACCTGGCCCCAGGGTCTTGGGGAACACTGTCTAAGGTGGGACCTTTGGCACTTCCTCTTGTATCTGTCAAGCCTACGACTATGTTCATATGAAGTGCCAGGAAGCACTGGTGATAACCTGCTGTCCCATCACTGCAGAAGATTCACCTACCTCCACCCTCTCTCTGGGGCTTTAGCACAAACTGGCTTGGGGCAGTGAGGGCCTCAGTGATGGCCTGGTCCCCTTCTTCACCCTGGCAGAAGGCAGAAAGTAGTCACCAGCTGTCCTTAAGGATAAAGAGGCAGCAAAGCTCCTGCTGGCCACGAAGAACATCACTGGGAAGAGCAGGAGGGGGAACAGCCATAAGCTCCCTCAGGCTGGACTCTTCTATCTGGATGTGACAACCCCAGCCAAACCCTCACAACAGTAAATGCACAAACAGGCCTTTCTCTAGAGGCATACAGCTTTGTGGCAGGTGGCCTGAAGAGTAGGTACAGATAGTCCCCAATTAGTACTGCTCATCTTAGTCCCTTCCCTTGCTTACCACCCCCATCTCTACCTTTGCTGAAGGAGCTTTCAGTGGATTCAGGCCCCCTTGGCTGCCCTGTCCCAAAGTCTCTCAGTGGGGGTTTTCCACTGACCTAAATCACAAAGCCAACCTTACTTCCAGCCCCACCCTCCCAGCACTCTGGACTCTAGGTCTCTTCTACCTCGGAGGCCTGCAGCAGGAAAAAGCGGGCTGCCTATGTACCATGTCCAGGGAGTAGAGGCCAGCAAAAGTGGCACGGAGTCTGGCCACCACGTCAGGCTGGCCAGGGAGCAGCACGTCCAGCACGCCCACCCTGCTCAGCTCCTGCTGCACCTTCTTAGTCCCAGCCAACTGTGTGGCAATGTCTGGGCACTTGACAGCACATGACCTCTCCAGCAGTAGGCGTGCTTCCCAGTTCTGTGGGGGAAGAAGATGAAAGATTTTTTTTTTTTTTCTCATTTCAACTGACCTTTACTGAGCATCCATCAGATACACTGTATTGTGCACCAAGTATTGTGCTTTTTATCTTCAAAGCAATTTTCTTCCAGGATCACTACAATATCCTTACAGAGGCTGGAGTGTACCATTACGGAACTCATAGTTTAGTGCCCTGATACATGACCATAAATTAAAGGGCAAGTGACAAAAGAGGAAAAGACTGTCTGTAAGGGTACAGAAAAATTGATAAGGAGGTTTAAAGAGCACTTGGAGCACTTGTTTATGGGCTTAGCTCCCTACTATATTCCAAATAAAATCCCACACTCTAATCTCTGGCTTCTCCTCAAATTTTGTACCTTCTGTCTTTTACTGAATAAAATCCAAACTCCTTACAATGGCCAGCAAGGCCCTGCAGGATCTGGCTCCTGTCTGATTTTTCAACCAAAATCCATGCTGCCACTACCATCCTACCCCCTACCTCCTAATGCCCACATTCTAGCCACATAGTCCGGTTGTTCCTCAAATACACAAAGCTCAATCCCTCAAGACCTTTGCTTTTGCTGTTTTCCCTCTGCCTGAAATTATCTTCCTTTTGGCTTTCTTCATGGATGGCTAGTTCCCTTTCATCCTTAAGTCTTGGCTCAGTCAGCTTTTCAGAGACTTCCCTGACCACTGTATTTAATGTGATTTCCACATAATTCTCTGTCTTAACCCTGTTGTTTCATTTAAAGTTACACCTCAACTATGGCAAATATCAATTTTCTATTTTTATTTACTTCTTGATGCCCATCTCTCTGATCAGACTGTATACTCCGTAAGGACTGGACCTTTGTTCATCTTGTTTTCCCTGGTGTCTAATGTAGTTCCTGGCACTTTGTAGCTGCTCAATAAGTATGTTACTATTACTGAGTAAAGTGAGGGTGAGGCTTGCATCATTCTTGACAGGCAGAGTGTGACAGGTGAGAGTCTATGGAGAAAGAGTCTATGGAGAAGGAATCTATGGAGAAGCTGGGCATGGTGGTATACACCTGTAATCCCAGCACTGGGAAGCTGATATAAGACTGTTTTGAGTTCGAGGCCAACTTCAACTACATAATGAGTGTAAGACCAGTCTGAACTACATAGTGAGATTCTGTCTCAAAACAAACGTTTTTTTTTTTTTTTTTTTTTTACAAATATAAATGAAGACCTGCAGAAAAAAATAGACTGTGTGCCAGCAGCTTAGAATATAAGAAGCAGGGAAACATCAGAGGATCATGCCTCCCAGCTCCAGTGCCCATTCCCAAGTGTGGAGGAGACAGTCTGTCCTTGGCTCCAGATCAAAGCCAACTTCCAACACCAGGATCAAGGCTCAGGCCTGAGGGGTAACTCTTGCCCTCACCTAATGTTGACCTGCAGCACCTTTACCTGATCCTCACCAACAGCCAGTCCTCTACTCGCGAGTCTGCTGCTCCAGGCAGAGTCACTGGAGCCCAAAGCATGAGATAAACCTAGAGAAGTACTCCATTATGTCAGAAGCAAGGAAAGCAAAACCTGAACACAAGCGGGGACTTACTCAGGGTCACTCAGAAGTTATTAGACCTTATCTATGTCCATGTCCTACACCTAATTTGAGCTGCTCGGTTCCCTAAAAATGTCCATTTCTTTACATATACCACTCTTGTCAGCTCTTCCAAATTTTCCTCCATCCTTTCCCTTCTCCCCCTTTCCTGAACCTTGGATCCATTTTCCCCACAGACAGTTTCTCTCTTTGCCCAGCACACTGCCAACTGCTTCTCTAGAAGAAAGAACCTCTCATAGAACTACCGCCTCTGTACAGTGCCCCTAAAGAGCTTATGCCAGGAGAATCCTAGCTCAAGTGTCGACCTGGAAGTAGCTTCCTCAATTTTCAAGTTCAGCACCTGTTCTCACAAACCAAGACCTAGAGGCAGAGTCAGGCTCATAAGGCCAGCCCATTACCCATGGCATTTCCTAACTTATTTCCTTCTTTGCCTTATCACAAGCGAAACCAGGTGTCTTAGCTTCTGATATGGACATTAGGAGCAGGGAAAAGAAAGATCTTCTGGGAATGCCATCAGCGTAAGAGCTAGAAAACCTGAGAACTTCCTGTGGGACCTTAGACAAGCCTCTACCTCACTCCAAATTTCAGTTTCCCCATCTTTATAATGGAGATAATTATATACCTCTCAGGGTGGTTGTAAGAGTTAAATGAACTAATGAAGATGAAAAGTAATTCTGAAACTATAGGATAGGATAACAAGATGGTGTCATCACTGCCACGAACTTGAATGAATAGATAATAAACTCTGGCTCAGGTAAAGGAGAGGGAATGAGGAGGAAAATGGTCTGTGGTGTGCTAGAATTAATTTGGATCATTTGGCAAGGGTGAGTACATCTATCTCTTTCCAACTCTGTGCTCAGAGATGTGAACTAGGGTAGCTCAAAATTACCTAACAGAAATCAAGAAATGCTATAAAATGAGGTTCTTCTCTCTAGAAAAAATGCCTGTTAAACATTTGCCCGCCTACCTCTGGCAAATGTGTGAATGGTTAACGCACTGTGGATTCCTGAGGATTCAGATTCTAGAAGACAAGTATGTTTGTAGAGGTAGCAAAAAGCTTGGAAGAGGAGAGGAGATTCCAGCAGCAAGTTCCCTGAGGAAGAACTGAAGTTAGGATTCAGCAAAACTCTTGTGGATGTGATGCCTGAGTTGGTTTCTTGTGGGTCTCAGGAAGCAAAGAATAGTCTAGTAGAAAATACTAACCTGTGGACTGTACTGACTAGGCATGTAACCATCCCTGAAGTAAACCACAGCAACTTCCTGGCCAGCCCTAGAATACAGAATGGAAAAATCCATTGTGTTCAATTATAACTGATATGTTCAGTGCACCAAAATATGTTCAATTTTTTTGAAAGTCATTACACAGGGAGAGTTGGGACAAGAGTTCACTGAAAGCAATAAAAGTCAATGTCCACGTCATCAGTTCTTCCACTAAAAACACAAAAGCGTGCAGTATTGGAATGGCTTACAGGGCCAGGGAGATGGCTCAGTAGAATAAGTGCTTGCTGGGCAAGCACAAGGGCCTGAGTTCAATCCACGGTTCCGCCAAGAAATAAAGTAAAAAATAAGCCAGTAGTATTAATATTCTAGCCATATGGTTTGGACTAGGGAAACAGTGGAATGGCTTACAATATTCCACATCAACAGTCATTCTACAGTCATGCTAGGAAAGCAAGGAGGATATACTATAACTAGAATCATATGAGGTAAATTTTTTTAAATGTGGATTCAGAATGACCAAGCAGCGCAACCATACTGCCCTACCTTAGCGAAACGACTTACATTTCTACTTCTTAAATTACCTGACACAAGGCTGAGATATTTTTTTTTTTTTTTTGGGGGGGGGCGGAACTGGGGATTGAACTCAGGCCCTTGCACTTGCCAGAGAAGCGCTTATGCCACTGAGCCATCTCCCCGGCCCAAGGCTAAGATTTCTTTTTGTTCTCAATCTCTATATTTTTTTTCTCAATTTTCTCTCTTTCTCTCTCTTATTTTTCTCTCTTTCTTATTTTCTCTTTCTCCCTCTCTGGCGATTCTCTTGCCTCAGCCTCCCAGAGTGCTGGGGATTACAATTGTGTGTAACCACACCCAGCTCAGGGTAGAATTCCTTAAAATGCACAGGTGAGGGATGAGGATATAAAAATACAAGTCTAGCTAAGACACAGGCTTTTAAAACTTCTTTTCTTTGACCTATTTGGTATTGCCTAGCTTATCTAGGAAGTCAACTACTTTGTTTTGTCATGATAAAAGCACATTTCGAAACACAGTAAGTAGTATTATGAAATTCCATGAAGGTTCTTAACTTTAACAATCACAAAGTCCCAGGTTAAAATATGTATCATGAAATGCTACTGAAATGGATGGCACTAAAGCCACCTGGTGGCAGCCACTGGAGAAAAAGGAAGGGGCTGATTTGGAAGACAAATCTAGGCCTGGATCCAAAGAGTTAAAATTGACCAACCAGAGAATGGGCCAGCTGCCCCTTCACACCCCTTTTCACTGCTCACATCTTACTTGAGCAGCCACAAAGAAGAACAGAAAACTTGTGTGGAGCTCAGGGGCACATGACAACCAAGGTCATCTCCAAAGATGATGCCCTTCTCCAGAAGATCCACAGCTCTGATACAACCCTGTAGAAACACAGCTTGGGTAGCCTGCTCCAAAATTTCCAGGAGGATGAGATATTTCAGAAATTAGAGGCTGGGACTAGCGGTACATGCCTGTAATCCCAGAACTTGGAAAGCTGAGGCAAGAGTATCACCATGCACTCAAGGCCAACCTGGGTTATGTAGTGAATTTAAGTCCAGCATGAATTGCATAGGGAGACGCTGTATCAAAAAAGAAAGAAAGAAAGAAAGAAAGAAAGAAAGAGAGAGAGAGAGAGAGAGA